CCCATATACCCTTTACCCAGCTGCCCTTGATGTTAACATCTTCCATTACCATGTGCGTTTGTCACAACAAACATCAACACCGGTACGGTACTGGTATCTGAACTCTAGACTGTGTTCTGATTCCACTAGTTTTTCTACTAATGTCCTTTTACTGTACCGGCTCAAATCCAGGGTGCTGTGTTGAATTTACTGTTTAGTAGTTTTTCAAGAGTAGGAGTTAACTCAGTGATATTTTTCTTGTACAAGTTTTGCAAGAAGAGTTTAAACTTTTCAAGCTCGTCAACTGAACCAATCTGAAAAGCTTCAACTCTGATTTTCTTTCAATTTGCAAATAAAATTCACAGACACACAGACAGTCCCCCAAACTCGTACATTTTAACGACAATTTATTATTGTTCATAATAGTTTAGAGACAGGAACCATAAATTATATTTATTATGTTTTTGTGTTGTAACAACTCAATTGCTTTTCTATACATTCTCTTTAGTACTGGAAATAAATGTTCGGAGCTAGCACAGATGGATCTGCTCACACACTCTTTGGGATAAGGACGGAGAGAAAGTTTTGCTTGTATGGCCCATAGACAGAAAAAAAGGTGAAGCCATCTGTCTACAGTGGGTTTTTTTCTGTTAAAAGTAAAAGTTAAGCAAGATACATGCTCCCAATTTGGGCCAATTCTTAGCTTTCACTTGCAAAGTCTTATCTGCAATGCTTTCAAAACGTGGAGGTGCACTTAATTTGCAAGGACGATTTTTGCAGACAATCGTCCCGTGAGATCTGTTTGTCTGAATCAAAATAGAATTCCGTGCGACCCAGATGGGACTCGAACCCACAATCCCCAGCTCCGGAGGCTGATGCCTTATCCATTAGGCCACTGGGTCACCACAGAAACCGGCTTCTCTCAACGTCCTCTTACGCGATGTCATCATTGTGCCCCGCCCCTACGCTCCGCAGGCTCCTGACCGTGAGTGTGTATTTTGGGGGCCGCCCCCAACGGCGCCAGCGTGCGCCTGCGCCCTTCTGAACCTTTGGACTTCAGTCCGACACTAGTGCGCTTGCGCGAGGCTCCCTTAGACCTGCTAAAGGGGGCTACGTACTCAACTTGTAGGCTGTTTGTACCTGTCTGCTGGATTTCTTGGAAGGTTTTCTGCCCTGGCTGCAAACTTAGTAGCCGGTAACCTAAGTGTATGGGGAACTTTAAGCAAAACTCCTTTGACTGTGATTCCTCGTTGTAATTGCGTTTACCTGGGTGGGCGGGGCGTCTGCGTTTTACAAAGCTCCTCTAGACCTTCCTCTGCCTCAGGCATTAAGAATCACAGAGCGTTAGGTCCTCCTGCACACCACTTCAACCTTCCCAACCCTTACAGTCCCTTCCTTCTGTTTTTTTCTTGCATTTACTCAAGGAACAGTAATTTGATTATGTGTAAACAGGCTTTTCTTTAATTTCGCCCCTCTACCCTACTCATCTACATCTATTTTCCTCCTCCTCCTCTCCTCTTCCAGATTAAAGGGAAAATATAGAGGCTGCAGGTCGAGATGGCAAGGTAGGTAAATGTGGTACTTGCAACCTCCCATAACCACATTAAAACTACAACTAAATTATAGAACAACCATCGTTCAGAGGAACTTGAAATCTAGCAAAATGAAAATCCTTCTGCTAAGGATTTAAAGAACAAGCCACATGGAGACGGGTAGGAGGGGTGGAGCTGTGGAACAGGCAGGTCCCATACCAGTGTGTGGCAGATAAAAATTGGGAGGGACATCTTGGCTGCTGAGGTCTCCCTAAGGAGAGAAGTGTCCCAGCCCCTCCATCCCAGGCATCACCCCCCATCCCAGGGTTCCAGTGCCAGAAAGAGAAGTCCCCGTAACTTCTGGCTATAAAAACTAGTGAAGATTTTGGCTTCTGGAGTTGGAGGCAGATCTTCTTAAAGGGCTTGCTGCCAGACTTACTCAGACTCCATCTCTCTGAGCTCCAGTGCTGGGGCTGCAGCTGGAAAAGCACCAGGGATGTATGGGGAGGAATGAATGGTCTGGCATTAGGGTCAGAGCTGGAAGGGCAGCTTTCTGCCAGACAAAGTTGCTGGCCAAGGCCATTGTTCCTTTTCTGAGACCACCCCTCTTCCCCAACAGAGCCAACAGGTGGGTTTCATATCTGAGTCTCCATCAACCTGGATACCATCCAGGTGATTAACTGAGAACCAGTCTCACCCACCTTTGGGGCTCACCCAAGCTGTTTCTAGTGGCTTTTCCGTAGGAATGCCAGTTGGCTCATGCTTCAGACTTTCCTAAACTGTCTCAAACAAGCAGCATTTGGCCTCAGTGTGCCCTATAGTTCTCACTAAGTGGTTCAAGGACCTGCACTAGAAGCAGCCTTGCCTTAGTTCGCAGCTTGGGCTCTCCTGGGCACCTCCAAGCCCAGCATAAGTAACAGCCATCTGCAGATTGCTTTGTAGCTCATGCCAGGTGGCCCTGTGCAGAACACAGGCAGCAGTTGACATTGGCCTGTACCTCCTGGGAGGCCCCAGAGCCAGCACCCTGGTGGACAGCTTCAGACAACATTGAAGCACCTGCAAAGGGTGGACGCAGGTGACACCTCATCTCTACTGAACTAAGTCTTGCCTTGCAGGGTGGACCTCTGCACAGCTGATCCACCACGGTGGTTGATGATCACAGCCAGTCCTTATAGATCAGCCTGTGGGTAAATCCTCATTGATGTGTCAACAGCAATCAAGGTTCAATTGCAACAGGAGAGTGTACACAGCTCACATGTGGGGGCAACACACCTGCAGTGCCCTGCTTGTGTGATCAGGGAGGCTGTGCCACTGGACCCTACAGAACACCTACTACATTAGGCCACTCTACCAAGCCTGGTAGATGTAGCAGCTCTACCTAATTCATAAAATCAAACACAGGGAGGCTGCCAAAATGAGACAAAGAAACACTTTTATTTGAGTCCAAAAGAAAGAATAGAACAAAACTCTAGAAAAAGAACTAAATGGAAGCAAGCAATCCACTGGATGCAGAGTTTAAAACACTGATTATAATGATGCTCAATGAGCTGAGAGAGAGCTTCAACAGCATAAAAAAAGAACACAAAGACCATAAAAAATAACCAGTCAGAAATGAAGGCTATATTAACTAAAATAATAATTTACAGGGAATCAACAGAATAGATAAGGCTGAGAATCAAATCAGTGATTTGGAATATAAGGAAGCAAAAGACACCCAATCAGAACAGCAAAAAGAAAAAAAATATGAGGGTACTGTAAGGAACCTCTGGGATAACTTCAAGCTTTCCAACATTCACATCATAAGGGTGCCGGGAGGAGAAGAGAGCAGGAAATTAAAACCCAAAGTGTCCCACACCAAGAAACAATTAAAATGTAAGAGGTTAAATACAGAATCTCTTGCTTTTAGCAACAAGAAAAAGACAATTAGTTACCTACAAGGAAGTTTCCATAAGACCGTCAGCTGATTTCTCAACAGAAACTTTGCAGAACAGAAGGGAGTGGCAAAAATTATTCAAAGTGATGAAAAGCAAGGACCTAAGATTACTCTACCCAGGAAAGCTATCATTTAAAATGGAAGGAGAAATAAGGAACTTCCCAGATAAGAAAATGCTAAAGGAATTCATCACCACAAAATCAGTATTACATGAAATGTTAAAGTGCCTTGAAGAAGAAGAAGGGGGGAAAAGATTAAAAAATATGAACAATAAAATGGCAATAAATACATATCAATAATTGAACCCAAAAAACAAACAAGCAGAACAGAAACACACAGATACAGAGAACGTTGTGATGGTCGCCAGATGGAAGGGGGTTTGGGGGATGGGTGAAAAAGGTGAAGAAGGGATTAAGGACAAATTGATTGTTACAGAACAGTCCTATCAGGATGTAAAGTACAGAATAGGAAGTAATAGTCAATAATATTCTAATAATTATGTAGGTGTCAGATGGGTACGAGATCTATTGGGCTGATCACTTAGTAATGTAATGTGTAATCACTGGGGTATGCTCTGGGAACTAATCTAATATTGTATGTCAAGTGTAATTTTAAAAACATTTAAATTTAAAAAATTAAGGAAAATGGATATAACAAGGTCTCTAAATACAAAATAATATGGATATTTTTTAAACCTTAAAGCTAGGTTTAGGATGAAGATTTAGAGACTTTCTGGTTTCTTGCACAATAAATATCTCTATGCTTCTTGCATGTAAAGATGCAGCATTTTTGGTTTTAAAGAATACAAAATTTTATTTTCTTTTTGGACATATAATACCTGTTCCTTGTAAAACTGTATAAAATAGGGATAAGCCAAATGAAAGAAAATTAAAATTGATTATAATTCTACCACTTAGAGTGAAGCACTATTAACATTTTAGTGAGTTTTTTTTTTTTTTTTTAGATTTTATTTATTTAATTTTTAGAGACGGGAGGGAGGGAGAAAGAAAGAATGAGAAATACCAGTGTGTGGTTGCCTCTTGCACGCCCCCCACCCAGGGACCCAGACTGTAGCTCAAGTGTGTGCCCCAACTGGAAATCAAACCAGTGACCCTTTGGTTTGCAGGCCGGCACTCAATCTGCTGATCCACACGAAGCACAGGGCTTGGTGTATATTTTTTAAATCTTGTCTGTGTGTCATTGTTTTACTACCTGTAAGTCATGAGCCACCCAGAAGATGTTTTCCATTAAAGCTAAGACAGTTAGTGAATAATGACAATGCTATAAGAATTATTAATTGTATTCAGTCTCCGTCCTTGAGTACACTTTTTTCTTTTCTTTTTCTTTTTTTTAAGATTTTATTCATTTATCTTTAGAGGGGAAGGGAAGGAGAGAGGGACAGAAATATCAATGTATGGTTGTCTCTCATGCATCCCCTGCTGGGAACTGGCCTGCAACCCAGGCATGTGCTCTGACTAGGAATTGAACCACAATTCTTTGGTTCACAGGCCCATACTTAATCCACTAAGCTACACCAGCCAGGGCCACTTTTTTTTTCTTACAGCCATTTTCAGGGACCTTAATGACCTCAGTGTCTTTGGAGCTTGCAACATGGCGTTACTATTGCTAGTTTTCTCTAAATTTCTGCAGAAACACATTCAGGTAAGCAGACATCTTAATATTTTGTGTGACATGGAAAATATGCATAAATCACTTCTGCATACCAAAATACAGTGGTGATCTCTGGAGGAAAACATTTGTGTGATGTTTGAGTTGCAGGCTAAGCTAGCTGCTTTTTCACTGGAACAGAGTTTTTACTTGTAAGGATGGCCGACATACTAACATTATTCAGGCCTGATCACACCTGGTTTGCTTCTCCAGGGCAGCTCTATTCTCAGGCTCACATCATCACATGGTCTTGTGGAAGAGACAGGGTATTTCACTCTCAAAGGCCTCAATAAGCCCCGGCTGGATTGTTGAGTTTGTTAGAGTACCATCCCAATATCCCAATATCGTGGGTTCCATCCCCCAGTCAGGCCACATACAAGAATTAATCAAATAATGCATGCATGAATAAGTGGAACAACAAATCAAATCCCTGTTTCTGTCTCCCTAAAATAATTTTTTAAAGATTTATTTATTTTTAGAGAGAGGGGAAGGGAAGGAGAGGGAAAGAAACATGGATGTGTGAGAGATACACTGATCAGTTCTGCTTCTCACACACCTCCAACCAGGGAGTTACTCCACAACCCAGGGTGCATGTACCCTGACTAGGAATCAAACCAGCAACCTTTTGGTCCCCAAGCTGCCACTCAATCCACTGAGCCACATGAGCCAGTGCTGAAAATAGTTTTTTTTTTTTTTAAAACAGAGCTTATTAGACTCTAACAGGTATGGTTTAATTGGTTGTCATTCTACAAAGCAAAAGGTCCCTGGTTCAATACCTGGTCAGGGCACATGGCTGGGTTGCAGGTTTGAGATCACATCAATGTTTTTCAAATAAATAAATAAATGAAATCTCTGAAAAAACAAAAAGTTTTATTGCACTGTGTTACATCTTCATCACCAAGTCTATCCCTGTGGCTAGGGTGGAATGTACCGATTGGCCTAGGTCAGAGGCCCTCTCCTGAATCTCCAAACTACAGTAGCTAAGAGTGGAGGGTGCATGGTTCCCCGGGGCAACCTTGTACCTTTCAAAGGTAACTTCTACTTTTGACATTGTATTTCTGTCTCAGGTTGTTGAGAGCTTATGTGGGTCCTGAAACCAGACAGCCTGGGTTTGTGAATCTGGACAGGTTACATAACCACTGGTGATTTCAGTCTCCTCTTCTGTGAAATGGAATAGATGATATTACTTCCTCAGAGAGTTGTGACAATTAAATGTATTAATATGTATATAATGCAACATACAAATGTATTATAGTATTGTACACTTGAAACTTATGAATCTATGTCACCCCAATAAAGTTTTTTAAAAGATTAAATGTTTTAATACATATAAAACACTTAGAACACTTCTGGGCATGTAGTGGAGGATGCACGTTCCCCAGGGCAACCTCCTATCTTTGAAAGGTAACTTTCACAATTGACATTATATTTGTTTCAGGTTGCTTTCAGGTGCAAGTCCTGAATAGTGGTTAAAAGCATGCAAAGTTATATATTTGTAACCTTCAGAGGTAGGGCAGGCTGTTCATTAGAGTTTTCCTGTTTTCTCTACAATTGTCCTATTCAGATTTCTAGGACTCACATCCCCTCAATTCAGAACAGAGCCTCATTTCCAACCTCCAATCATTAAGCAAAAGGCACAGCCTCCCCAACAAGACGCAAGGTTTCATGCATTTCCCTGAAACACTCAGAGTAACAAGAGAACGCCCTGCATTTCCCCGAAACATTCAGAGCGACAAGAGAACGCCCGGCAGTGACTGGTTTAGGGGTGAATTCTTTCCACATGTTTGCGCTTGGGGGATGGGTTTATGCTGATTGGGTGGGTGAAAATAGAGTAAACCTCCCAAGAACCCCATGGCTGCCACACAATGAGTGAAGCTGGCAAAAACGCCTGCAAAATGGACAACGTTCGATGTTTGAATTTATGTAGAGCAAGAAAGAAAACCAATTTAACTTTTCTGAAGATACCCTTTTTAGGATACAGAAAAATTAGAGAAAAAAAATTGATCCATAATCCCGATGCTCTGATAACCATCATTAGTACTTAAAAAAGGAAATGTAGATGGCAAAAAAAAAAAAAAAAAGCAACCATTCGGGAATGTGTCACAGTATAGAATATTACTGAAAAGACTGACAAAACTTCAAAACGGACTATATATATAGGGGTGGATAAAATTAGGATTAAAGTTGTAACAAATAACTGATACAATAATGAATAAATAGTAACCCAGGAATAAACTGTTTCACATAGTCACCACTGTAAACCTATTTTTGCCCACCCCTGTATATATAGAGAGGGGAGGGGGGGAGATAGCAGAAAATGTGGCAAAATGTTAACATTGGGCAAATCTAGGTAAAGATTTGCAATTCTGTAAATACAGATTTTAAATAATTAAAAAATAAAAGGGTATCAAGAGAAACAGGCATAGTGAACCTTTGGTTGCCGTATTTGTGGTTTCTATGCACTCTTTTACGACGCAAGCTAAAAAAAAAGCCACACATATTTGTCTAGTTCTTCCTCTCCATAATGAACAGTAGGGTCTCCCAAGTTCCTTCTGTGAAATATACATACAATATGTTTCTATAGCAACACTTTAAAGAGAATAATTTTGGGAACCCATTTGTAGTACTTGTAGTGGCAGCCGCCGAGGAAAAAGACCAGCCACTTAAGAACACTCAAACCGTTTTTGCAAAGCCCGGCTGCGGCGAGCCTAGAAACCACCATTCGCGTTACTTGCCGGGACTTCCAACTCCAAACTGCTAGGAGCACCAGCATTACCTGGCAGCTCCCTCATCTCGCGATACTCTCTTGGCTCAGGCCCTATGACCCCCCTCCAACAACGTGTTTTTCAAATCCACCAATAGACGCACAACGTAGGCTCAAACCAGCCAATCGGAATGCGGAACCACCGGGAAATTTAAATCGCGCCGGCCGGCAGCACGAGCCACACGGTCTTCGTGCTGATCAGTGTTGGGCGTTTTCAGAGCAACCGAACCGCAACCTGTCCGCCTCGCACCGTCTCCTGTGAAAGGACTAAGCCGGCCGTGTAGGTACGAACTCAGGCTCACCCTGGCCAGAGTCTTACCGACTGGCCTTCGGGCCGCGCTCTGCTTGCGGGTGGTGGGAGGTACACGGGTACACGGGCGGGAGGTACCTCGGGTACACGCCCGGCCTGCTTTGGCCTCACTTGTGGAGGAGGCCTCCCGGGCGTCTTTCGCTGTCGAGGGGGCTGTTACACGATGCTAGTCCTCGGGCTTCACCCCGCCTAGGCTCTGCGAACCTCAGCGAGAGCCTTGACTCTTCGCTACTCGGAAAATAAGACTGAGTTCTGATGGCCGAAGTCCCGGGAGGCGGCCAGGCGCCGCCGGCCCTTCCTCCGTCGTTTCTCCGCTGCGTCTTCCCGGGGTGGGGGACCGGAGATGCTGGAGGTGGCCGTTGTCAGGTTTATCTCTTACAATGTAGGCCTTGAGTTGGCTGTGCGGATTTCGTAAATTAACATAATGGGATAAAGATAAATCCAAAGGAACCTTTGAAGGTTGCTCTTTAAGTAGCCGAGTCTGAATGATGTCAGCAGATAATCATCCTCCTGAAGTATGTTCACTGGAAATTCCTGGCATTGAAAGTGTTGGCGAGATACGGAAGATGCAGAGAACTGCGTCGCAAATTTTCAGTGTTGACACGAAAGTGTTGTGGAAGGCTTAATAAATGCAATAGTGAACAAAATTTATCTTACATTGAATTTTTTCTTACGTTGTGGAGAGTGTGTCTATTTTGGCTACTTAAAGACCAGAGGATCTGAATGTATTAAGCCTCATAGGTTCAAACTGAGCTTAACTTTGTCTTCCTACTTAACTCAGTTTCCTACTTTGTCTTCAGTTAACTAGTTATGGACTGCACATAACTGCACTAGTTCTAGACTGCACTAGTCTAGAGCTGCACTGTCTAATATTGGACATGCTTGTGGCAAGTCCGAATTTTGAGCTATGCTGTAAGCTTACAATGCACACAAGATTTCAAAGAATTGGTACGAAAAAAGAATGTGAAATATCTGTTAATGTTCTTAGAGACAAAGCAAAATGATAAAAGGGACATTTTTTTTCTCTCCCTTATCTCATAGCTATCTCCCTTTGTCTCATAACCATGTCCACCAATGAGAATGCTAACTCACCAGCTGCCCGCCTTAACAGATTTAAGAACAAGGGGAAAGACAGTACAGTGAGTACCTTCTGTTGCTTTCACATAGTATTGTTTAAATGGAAAGATATTTTGGGGAATTTGGAAAAAAAAATTCCCTCACTTTACAACAAAACCTGAATAGGTGAAATGATCTGTTACCTTTTCCCAAGGAAATGAGGCGTCGCCGAATAGAGGTTAATGTGGAGCTGAGAAAAGCTAAGAAGGATGAACAGATGCTGAAGAGGAGGAATGTGAGCTCCTTTCCTGATGATGCTACTTCTCCACTGCAGGAAAACCGCAACAACCAGGTGAATATATTTTAGCTTATGAATTATGGTAAACCCAGAAAATCAGTATGGTGGTTAAGTATTTTAAAACATGCCTATTCTTATGGTTTTAATAATGAAATCGGTGAAGATTTTTTTTTCTTCTCTGAATCAGTAGTTGTCAGTTTCCTACCCTTTATTTATTTATTTATTTTAAAAGATTTTATTTTTAGAGAGAGGAAGGAAAGGAGAACTATGGAAGGAGAAAGAGAGGGAAAGAAACATCAGTGTGTGGTTGCCTCTTATGCACCCCTTGTTGGGGACCTGGCCTGTAACCCAGACGTGTGCCCTGATTGGGAATTGAACCGTGACCCTTTGGTTCACAGGCATGCACTCAATCCTCTGAGCTATACCAGCCAGGCCTTCTACCCGCTCTTAATAATCTGCTGAACCTGATCCAAGGTCTTCTTTAGCTTTGATCTCCCTTCGTGTTCGCCTGCATTTACAGCTGCCAGCTCAGTAACTTGACCTCGCCCATTCCAGTACCAAATGAAAGTATGTCCAGAACCAGCT